CACGGCTGCAGCCCTTCCCGAGCTGCTCCAGCGTGGGACTCCCCCGCATGCTGCAATCCTCCCAGCACTGAATTACAGCAGGGGGGCTGCCTTTTCCCATGAGACCCCGGCCTTCTTCGGGCACAGCACCTTGATTATACCAAGCAGGAGCCACAGGCCATAAATCAGTGTCTGCTCCACCGTAGATCTCCATGGGTGGCAGGGGGGGCCGCCCTGCCGTCTCCCCACAGGATACAGGAGGGTCTCTGCTCCGGCACACCTCCCCCCTCCTTTCTTCCTCCGTTCCTCCACTGACCTTGGTGTTCACGCAGCTTCAGCAACTCCTCCTCACCAGTCCCACTGCCCGTCACCACGTCCCTTCTTAAATACGTTATCGCAGAGGCGCAGCTGGTGGGCTTCGTTTCCCAAACAGAAGTGGAGCTGACGTGGAGCTGGGGGAGTTTCGAGAAGCTTCTCACAGGGGGCCGCCCCGATAGCCCCCTCCCCTGCCACCAAAAAACTCCACCACTGACTCAACCCAGGACACACAATTATTGTGGCTTGCATATCAACTTCAGTCTATTCTTTGAGGGGCTGTCAGGTGCTATATAGCAAGGAATGTGTATATGAGTATGGCAAATACCCTTCCATAAAATTTTAAAGTAGGTTTAGGTAGTGAGAAGAGCTCAGATAATAAGAAAGACAACCGACAAGGAATAAAATTAAAGACCTAGTAATAGTCCAGATCTATATATTTGCAGAATCTCATAATTATCACTGGTGAAAATTAAGCCTGTTTAGCATAATAAGCATCAGTCTCTAATCTATTTTTTCAGCCCCTGAGGATTCAGTTTTTGTGGATTATTTACCAATAAGCAGATAACACTTTAAACTATTCTAGGCTTTTCTTTAGCTGTGTTTTACTGCCCTGAGTGCCATCAAGTTGAACTGAAACACACTAAAAAAAAAGTCAGGATAAACTGGACTTTAAGGATTTCATCTGTAAAGCTGGAAAGTCACACTTCAGATGTCATGCATAAAAAGATGTTGCTTACGAGCAAAACAGAATCACATTCTCTAAGTAAGGCAGCTGACATTATTTCTGCAGTAGGCACTCAGAGGTACCTTCCACAATGTGTGGTGTGACCCCTACTCCCACCAAAAATTACGCACATCCAGTTTTCTCACTGGTTTGCAGTCTTTCTGTGCTTTGCATGACCACACCTTCTAGTTAATCTGTAAATTTTCTAGAGCGTATACTGTAGTCTGAGTTTGGCATACCATCCAGCATAGCAGGACCCCAGTTTTGGTTAAAGCCTCCGCACAACACAGCGATATGAATACACAATTAATAATAATAAATAATCCACATTTGGAATGAAAACCAAATGAAACATCCAAAAGTCTAAGATATTAATCATGAGCAAAAAATGACTCAATGGAAGTGAACTGGTTTGGGGTTTTTTTTCCCCAAGTGTATTTTCTCTTCAATAAACTCTGATAAATATCCAGAGGGCATTTCAAAGCTTGAGCTTCCCAGCGCAAATGAAGGGTAAATGAACTACAATAGACATCTGCATTGGTTTTATTTTTAATAAGCAGTGGCACATAATCAATTTTTCCTACTAACACTCTTGAATTTGGAGATCAAACGCAATGTGTATGTATAGTGATTATCATCAGTGAGTATTTCACAGAAGACTCTGAAAAAGCAATAAAGCATTACATCATTCTGTATGAGCAGAGGTTCTGAGAACTGTTGTGTGGCTCAGACAGCACATTCTGCACTTTGTTTCTTCTAAAGAGGAGATGACACTACAATGTTTAAGGCATATGTAAGATTTTGCTCATTAGGACATCGAGTGATCTTTTTTAAATCAATCAAACCAAACATATCTCAATCCTGCTAAAACTGGAAGATCAATTTATTTCTGAGAGCGTGCTGTGAGGATTATAAATAGGTGATCGGGGAAGTGATGTGTGTGCACATGCTGCGGAGGTGTTTGTCAGATGGTGTGAATCTCCTATCCTCTCATCTCAGAACACATATTCACCTGCATAGAATGCAACTAGCTTCCAATTCCCACTCCTCCACAGCAAGGTTTGTAACTCAGTGTTTTATAACCTGTCTCCTGCACCAGGGTCCCATGTGGCAGAAGGGTCTCGTCAGCTTATTTTTGGCGCACTTCCCACCTGTTTAGCCCATGAGACCACACAATCCCTGGAGATAATGACACTGTACTGCAGTGACCCTTATGCTTTAAAAAGTCTAAAGCAAGAACACATGGTAGCCTTCCTCGCTTCCAACCTGTCAGATGTCTCCCCAAGTTGTTACCCAACACACTGTTTGTCTCTGAGTCATAAGAAAGAAGGTTTATTTTAGCTACTAAAAGGATGATTATTGCAGAGCAGGATCTTAGCACTTCGATCTAACCATCCATTTTGACTACATTCCAGTTTATGAAATTATAATATAAAAAAAAACACTAACGAAGCAAGCAAACAGCCTGCAAGACTTATTGTCCTTCCCTTCTTGTTTTCAGTACCTGTAAGATTATGAGCCAGGCTTGCTGGAGGGAAGAATGGATTTTTTTCACCTGCTTACAGATCTTCGGCAACAAATTCATAACTAGTTCCTGTCACCTGAAAATCAAGCTGGCCTCCTATTTCCCTTCAGTCTAAAAGCTCTGTAACCTGAACCTTACTTATTTCACTTCAACTGGTTCTTATTTCTATGCTGGTCTCAGCAAGACACTGCTCAAATTGTAACAATGATGTTACAAATCATGAATGACATATAGAGGCAGAGGTTGTCTCACACTGTTGATATTTAAGCACCTCGGCTGAAACAGTTTCTCCTAACAGGTACATTTAACAATTCCATCCACATTAAAACTACTGCAGTTTAGTTTCCTGTAGATTTGTGTCTGTTGGTTGCTTGACTTTGACGGTTAAGACAAACAAAGCCTTTTCTGTAGTTTCAGCATCTACAAGGATGGAAATGAGAAATGGATCAATGAGTTAAAAATTTTTTAGCACAGAGGTCATAAACCTAAAACCATATCTGCACAGGCAAGCGATATGATCATACATACCACACTTCTACAGAAACCCAGGGCAAAATAGAACTAAGCTGAAACTGTGTATGTGGTATTCCACGATCGTGGTTCCTAATAGCAGGGAATGGAAAGCAGATTAGGGCAGACACAAGAAAAGAGGCAGAAATAGAAGATGGAAAAGCTCTAGCAGGCAATAGCTCAAAGGAGCTGAGTTCTGCCTGCCAGTCAGTTTTATTTGCTCTCCTGACAACAGCAACAACAGCTTGCAAAGGCATAACATTTACAGAGCACAGTCTCCCTTGAACAAATACAAGCGTAACCCTGACAGTGTGAACTTTATCTATTAAACTGCAATTATAAAAATTCCCTCATCTCGCTCTGGTACTGTGTGGATATGGAAGTCAAAGGATGTGGGTCTCTCAGATATTATAGATATTGGAGACCATATAATTAAGGTGGTTAAACCCTCCAGCAGTACAAGATACTGTCCATCATCCTAACTAACTCCGTTTCTCCTCCGTTTTTAGGCTGAAACTAGTAAGAAAGCAGTCTACAGCACGGGTAAATATATTAGAGGTTGTTTTTTCCTAGCTTCTTGGTAAGCTGCTCAGCACCGTGGGAGGTTATGCCAAGTGGTAGTTAGGGAGGTCTGCTGCATTCAGGCGAGTTAATTACAGAGGTGGTTGGAGGACAAGGTGATGCCAAGTGGGAGGAAGGCTTCCCTGCAGAAATGGACTGTCAGCAAAGCCAGGAGGGAATGCAGTCAGTCATAGTTTGCCTTTACCAAACAAGAATGATCACGGACGTGGCTTCCTGCTTGCTTGTGAATTCATCAGATTTTTGGCCTGTGCATGAAACTCTTTTCTCAGGCCTTCTCGTATATAGACACACGATGTTTAGTTCTTTTAGAGGGCACAAGTAGTTTGGTTTACTTAAGTGGTTTTATTGTTCTAATAAAACTTTTATTTTTGGTCACTTTCTCTGATTTAGGAAACAGTGATCTTATAGACATGGTGGCTGGTGCGTTCTGATCCTGACTCTATCTAGATGAACCTTTCTTCGAAGAAAATGTAGCAGGATGGTACCAGCAACAGTGGGAAAAGCTGCAAGCATTTTTACTGCTGGCACTTACTTTCACCCAGATGTGTGAAACACTAATTTCCGATGCTGAGAGGGGTTCTCATAAATGGGGAAGGTGATGGTTTATTTCCAGGTGAACAGTATATATTCCTAGCATGAATAAAACTGCAATCTGACTGTGGCATCTGTAACAAGCTCACAGCGGTTTGGCAAAGCGAGGAGCTAAGCATTTGCTTAATATAAGCAGCTTAAGGAACTCTCAAGGACAAAGAACGCGTGCTGACAAACCACTTATACTGCAGACACGGCTGTACTTAGGTGTAACGAGATTGTGAGATCTGTCACGCCAAGCCGGCAGAACACGCGTGTGTGGGAAGGGGGCCGGTGGCAGGGGCACGCCGGGCCTGCGGGCTCCACAGGTCGCGGCCTCAGCTCTCCCTCAGAACTCCAAGCCTGCGGGCCGGCGCCGCTGTCCGCCGGGTCCCCTCACGGCACCCTGCCCGCCCGTGCTGCCCACCCTCCATTTTGCTGGTTGGCGGCCGAGACCCCCCCGACAGCCGGGACTGACTGGAAACCACGAAGGCTCCGAGAGGAACGCCGCCTGGTCGCTTTGCCGACGGCCCCCAGCCCCGAGGAGTGAGCTCCTCTTTGGCACGGGTGCCATCCCGCGTCGCCGCCCTCCTCTCACACCACAGCAGCGACAGAGGAAGGTACGGAGGGGCGGCACAGCCGCCCAGACCCACCCTTCTCCACCGCCGCCCCCCGCCATGCCGGCCGCCCCCTCAGGCGCAGCCCGCCCTCCCCGCCCCGCGGACCACGTGTCCCAGGCGCCGCAGCGCCTCTGCGCAGGCGCCGTGCCCGCTCCCCCTGCCCGGCCGAGGCTGGGGCTCCGGATCAAAATGGCGGCGGCCGGAGCGGGGCTGGGAGGGAGGGGGTCGTGCTGAGCGGGCAGGAGGATGATGATGGTGATGGTGGCGGCGGCGAGCGGCTGCCGGAGGTGAGGCGCCGCGGGGAGCTGCGCGATGAGCGCCGGCTGGGACAGAGAGGGAGAGGGAGGGCCGGGCTCGGTGTTACGGCGGCGAGTAGGAGGGGGCGAGACCGCCGACGCCCCCGCGGCGGGGTTCCCTGAGCTGGGGCCGGGTGCGCGCCCCGCCGGGCTGGCGGTGCCCCGCGCCGGCTGCGGGCAGGCTGCGCCCGCACCCCCGGCTGCCAGCCCGCCGCCCCGCCGCTGGCTCCGCGGCTACGGCGGGGCTGGGGTGCAGGCCCCCGCTCCCCCCCCCCCCCCCCCCCCCCCCGCCAGGCCTCCCGCCGCGGGGAGCGGCCCTTCCCCTCGGGCAGCTCCCGGGACCGGGCGGGCCGAGCCCGCGAGTGGTCCCCGCTCCGCGGCGCCGGCCTCGCCTCTGCCTCCTTCTCACCCCTGCGTCCCGCCTCGCCTCCCCCCTCCCCGGGGCGGCGTGGCCCCGCGGAGCCCTCGGGGAGTTCGTTGGGTTCGCCTCACGGAGGAACCGGTGCGGGGTTCGTGTCCCCGCTGCTGCCGCGCTTACCGTGGGTCCGGCCGGTGCGAGAGCGAGTTCACGGGGCTGCGGGGCTCCCGGCCGGCCCGCCGGTCCCCGGGCAGCGCCTGTGGCCTTGGGATGGGGGGGGGGTCGTCTGGCCCCGCACCGCACAGGTGTTACAGTGCTGTTGCTGGAGAGCTTTATAGGTTCTGTACGTGCTTGTGCCTCTGGAATATTCCTCCTGCTAGTGGGATAGTGCTTTGCCGTTGGTTTGTGCTTCTACTTGCTCTCCCCTGCCATCCCGTTGGAGGCCGTTGGGTGAAAGGTGACACACGTCAAGCGCTAACATAAAATCCGATAGTACAATAATAAAATACGTGTTGATACAATGATACTTTATTTGGCTGATAGTTTAGCTTAGGGAATGTAGCATCACTTGAGGCTTTGCTCCAAACCAGCGTAACATAATACACAAATCTACAGCGTTTGGCAGATACACCACTGGGTTGTGGTCACCTCAGGTTTTACCACATATTGCGTGCTCTCTTTTCATTTAGAAATGGAGAAAATGAAAATAGAACTCACATAAAAAAATGTTTAGTGGTCATAACTTTTTTTTGAGGTACTGAGAAGCTTGATGAATTACAGCTTTACTCTCTTTGTCTGAAAGATGTTAGGGAGGACGATTAGTCTTCTAAGATTAGCCTTTATTGTATCAAATGTAAACTGTGGACCAGTTTCATCCTAGTTCTGTATCAGTATGATTCATTACATGGGGAGGTGCAGGAAGGGGAATACTTTTTTAGATCCAGTGAGTTTAGATCTCTCTCTAGTTGAACCTTTTACTTGAGAAATCAACAGGAATATTTCTTCCTCCTTTCTCTCCTCCCCCTGTTGTCAACTAAGAGTCTGCTGCCAACAGAACAAAACTAATTCTGTAGGAATTATTTTTGAGGATGTGGAACAAGTGTCTTTTAGTAATGTACAGACTCAGTGGACTGTGGTGTTTGAAAGGCAAGATCTGAGTGCTTATTTTGTAGAATATCTGGATGAAGATAGTGGATTGGAAAGGTGCAGCTTGTGATGTTTTCTCCCTTGTTGAATTAACTTAATTCTAACTAGTGTTAGTTGATGGACCAAAGCATAACTGAGCCAAATAATGTTGTGTAAACATTACTATCTGTTCATGTTTGTATGTAAACTTCAGATGACTGTCTTAGCAAATAAAGCTTGTATCTTAAGTTACAACATGAAGCTGCCAATTGCTCTCAGTTTTTTGTTCAGATTTAAAGTTAGGCTTACAGAGTTGGACTACATACAGGTAATATTGTAAATAGAATTCAGTATTTTCTGTAGAATGTACAGCCAGCGTGAGGAGGGTTTTTTTTGAGATTAGAAAACCTATTGAATCCTTTGTATTTTGGCTCAGCTGCACCAAGCATTGTTTTACTTGCTTTCAAACTTTAGCCAATATATAAGTTGGTTTGACGTTCCGATTTAGTTTTGTATGCTCAAACATACAAGGAGCACAGACATGAGTTATTTTGGATCGTTTTCTGTGGCACTGTAATTGCTGGCCTTTTTTTTTTTTTTTTTTAAATTCTTTCCGTTTACTAGTGTAAGTGAATTTTCTTCATATGTCCAGATTCCCTTGCTGAGTCATAGATACAGTAGTGGTGTAATGCTTATAGCTGGCACTGACAGATTTGCAAAGAGTCATACATGAAAGAATAGAATTACTTTTATAAGCTCTTCTGGAAGACTTGCATGGACTTGTCATAGTGATTAAAAAAAAAAAATTTTTCCCCTCTTGGTTTTCAAGCTTGTCTAAGAAGCTCAAAACTTTGTGCTGTGAAGATATATTGCTTATTCTTAAATTACAGTAGAATATCCTGTCTTTGCAGCCAACTGTATTTAATTCAGTGAGGCTGACTGAGCTTGATGAATAGACTAACAAAGCACTGAGTCTTCATTTTGAAAGCCACCTTTCAGGTTGCTGCATACGTGATGTCAGGTTTACAGCTGTCACTGGTGACAACTGACCTAGAGGCTTGTAGGGGATGAATTCTAGGCTTGGGCAGTGTCTTCCTCTGTCCTGCTTTGCAGGCTGCTTTGGTGTTGTGGTATCTTGTGGTCATATGGCCACAGGAAGAGGTGTGACACTAGCCCTGCCCCTCCTATGCCCCTGATGCTAGTTTGGTTTTGATATAATGGAGCACGTGGAAGAAAAGGGGAGTGTATTCTGTTGTCTTGGCCACACAGCGATGACCAAGGTAATCATGGCTGGCTGCTTTTCAGAGACGAAAAGTAAGATGAATCAAAACATCCTATGGACATCTCGCATGGACTGCATGCAGTTCACATTAATCAAACAGAAGATCTATAGATAAAATGTGAGATTGCTCTTAAGAAGAAATAACTATGTTCTTAATAAAGTTAATGAGAATCTGACTGCTTTTACAGCAAATCTTTATAGAAAACTGCAAGTTCCAGCCTTAACGCTATTTTTTTTTTTTCTGTTTTTCCTGAACATATTTACATGAGTGTTAATTTCTATTGCCAGATCAATGGCTTGTACCATTTTTTCACACAAGTCTGGGAAGCTCGTGCACAAACTTTACTGTGCATGCAGTGGAGACTGGGAGTCCTTGTTCAGGAGTGAGTGTTAGATGAGCTTCCATTGAGTCATGTACTTATTGATCTGTTTCATTACCCAGGTTCTTTGAAAAATAAGCCTTGTCAATATATCTTTAAATCTTTGGACAGAAGCTATTGTAAATTTTTAGAATGCTCTTTCGTATGTTGGCTTACTGGTATGCCTGAACTGTAACAAGAAGGGACTGCAGATAGGAAGTTTGATGCTAGTCTTGCATTTTGTGTCAAACCGGTCTGTCCTGCATCTCTCCCAAGAAGGATGCCAATTGTAATGATGCCTTCTGTATAATGAACGGATGCTAGGAGATCTGAAATCCTGGTGTGTTTTATGTAGAAACAGTGAAAATTGTGTGTTGGGGAGAGTAGAAAGGGGCAAGAGGAAAAATGGATAGGAAGGAGTTGAATATCAGTGATGACATATGCAACACTTCATGTCTTTCTGTCTGAAGTTCTGTAAAGTTTTACCATGTTGCTTTCATCTTATTCTCTGTCTGTGGTGCTTTAGTTTCCAGTGCTCAAGCAAATAGATCAGATCATGTCAGAGGTTCACCTGAAACTAAAGGGGATCTGAAGTCTCTCATTTCTCTGTCCTTGGGACTATGTCAGGTAACTTTCTTGCTCTGTAACGATGCCCGTGAGGTTTGTGATAGATGCTTACTGACAAAATTGGCTTAAACACTTGCAGTCCACAGCTGCTTTTTCCTGCTTCCTGCACGGTCTCCTCAGCTGTGTTGGTAGAGCTGTTTAAACAGTTTAATTCTGGAGCATTGCAGGAAATTGATCTGTCTGAAAAATGAACCACTAAAACACAAAATAACTTCAGATAAGGTCGCTGATCTGGGTCATCACCTTGCTGTGGAAAGTTTGTTTGCTGGCACAGTGTAGAGGTAAGGTCAGGTAGGTGAAGAGGATCAGGGGGTGGGACTGTGTTGCCTAAAGTGTGTTGGGTTGAAGTACATATGTAACTATATATTTTGTTAATTTAAAATCTGATTTGATTGCTCCATTTGGTGTAAGTGTTGTGCAAGGTTGCACCAAACACTACTGAATGTGTACTATAACAACTGGTAGGCTTGCAGGCACATATTCAGCCTATTGGGGATTTTCTGTCATCAGTGGGTTAAACTACTTCTCTAAATGAAGAATAGGAATTACCCTGTTATTAATAGTAGTCAAAGCTGATTAAGAAGAAGAAACTTTCAGTAAGTTGTGTGTCACATTTGAGAGTAACATCTTTCTAAATCAGTTTAAGTTTCAGAAATATCTTTTAGAGATCTTGCCTTATTTTTCAAACTTGCCATTTTAACACTTGCTGTTATCTGTATAAATGTCTGATAATTTTGTAAATACTATTTGATGTTTGTCCTCAAATCTTGTCTGAATTCAGTGGTCATACCGTTAGGTTCTGTATGACACTCAAAATTCATTGTATGTTCGGTTCTTCCTGTATTAGAAAGAGTGGATTTTTTTTCTTTGCTTTTCTTACCTATCATATCCTGGTTTCAGTCCACTATAGTAGATTGTAAAGGGTAGAATTTAATTTTTTTTTAAATAATCTCTTTCTAGTGCTGATTTTGCTTCCATTTCCCATCTTCTTTAAGAACCTTTTTATTTCTACTCTGTTCTCTTTGATGTAGAATTATTTCAGTATGCTAACTTGCAACTTTTAAGATTACTCTCTTCTTCCTGACATTCTTCATCACTTCGGTGTTCACCTAGTGGAACACACGTTTTCAGTGTTACCCAGTGGAAGTCCTTTAGAGATAGATCAGTGTAGTTAATGGTATTCAAGATCCCTGTCTAATTTGGAAGCCTTGTCCAAGATCTGTTAAAACTCTGTTTCAGG